ATGGTCAAACTTAAACTATTTGATTCTCGAGAAATAAAAAGTGTCACATAAAATGGGACAGACGAAGGATAACTCTCAATTAAATTTATTTCACTTTTTAGTTTCCATTTTTAACATAATTTTTCAAGTTGGATTTCTAGGAATTCTATAGTAGACCCATTTAAATTTGACTTTTTTGTTTTAAATTAGAGAACTTGGCCGCACTTCGCGCGATCATTAAAATTAAATATTTTTGATTAATTTTATATTTACTTTGTTGTTTAATCGTAATATTATTATTTGTTTTAATAATATGAAGATTGTGAAAAAAATAAAGCTTCACAAATTTTACATCTATTAAATGAGGAAGAATATATTTTTTATCAAATAAGTTAAAATATATTTGCTAATAACAAATTCTTCCATTGCATGAAGTTCATCCTTTAATATATAATATATATTTCGGTCTACCATTCTCCTTAAATGTCTAACAAATATCTCATAATGTCAAATAAGACTGTAATACTCCCTCTGTCCCTAATTACTTGTCCACTTTTAAATTGACACATTTATTAAGAAATCAATTAATGACATAGTGAGTTTATCATTTTACCCCTATTAATTATGAAGTAGATGAAAAGTTCTGCAATTTTCAAAGTAATTAGTCATTTAATTGAGGGTATAATAGGTAAAAAAAAATGTTATTTCTTCATTTGTCAAAATGGACAAGTAATTAGAGACAACTATAAAAGGAAAAGTAAACAAGTAATTAGGGACAGAGGGAGTACTAAACAAATGCATCAACAAATGAAATTTATATTAAAAATATATTGAATAATGACGTAATGATACCTTAATAGAATTTCCTATCCATTTACAAAAAAAAAAAACTTCACCCTTTCAATTTCGTTATATCTTCTTATTTAGTAGAAGAATCATCATTTATTATATTCTACTCCACCTTAATTTGTACCATCAGAGTTTTAAGAATAAACATTAAATTTTAAATCGAAATAAAAATTCATTGAAAAATGACAGAAAAAATAATAATAGTATATGAAAATTAAAATAAGGTGCAAGAAAAGCCTTTTCACGATAATTTTTTGAAATATATTGACAACAATTAAAATGAAGCTGTTATTTTATCTTTAAAATTAAGTTTTGAATTGAATTAGTACAATGAGAAAAAATATTAAACTAATAACTTTTTAATGTTATTAAATGCATTTTCTTTTTAATTGAGTAGTAGATTAAAAGTTCCGAATTAGGATATTAAAATAATATCTTACTCTCTCCTTAATTATTATGGTATTGCAAACATTTATTTTCCTTAAATCGTGATTCATTTTCCATTTACAATTATATCCAATTAATTTCTAATGTATTGAATGTGGTTATGGGATATTGAAATAATATCTTCATTTTTCCTTAATCATAATAAAATTATAATTTAACATTTATTTTTCTGAAATGATAATTTTGTTTTAATTCCTAGAACATGTTGTTTACTATATTGAATGTAATTATAATAAAACATATTGTATTTAGTATGACAAAAGAACTCAAAAATTGGAGAAATTAGATAAATAGTAATCTTAACTTCTAAGAAATGTCACATCATCATTTACATATCCAACTTTATATATATAAAAGAGTTAAAAAAGAAAAATTAAGTGATTAAACAAAATTATATAAATTACATTAATGATTAGATGAAGATTAAGAAAAAACCTCAAAAAAATGAGTAGTATTGATGATGATAAAAGTTAAATAAATCATTTTTTCTATTATTAAAATTTTTAACATAAAATTTCCAAACTTTTAAAATTAAAAATAAATGTTAAAAAAAAAATCGAGGCAATAATTATTTTAAAGAAAAATATAACCAAAATTGTCAAAAAAAATTAATAAAAATAAATAACTATCTATTAGTAAGAATGGTACTACATTTTCTATTTTAACTTCATTGTTACGTATGGATAGAAACTTTTACAAGAAGAAATGATCCAAAAATTTAAAAATAATGATTCCTTAAATGGTGATTCCTTTTCCATTTACAGCTTTTCAATTAATTTTTAATGTATTATATATGGTTATGGATATTGGAATAATAATTTTATCTTTCCTTAATCATAATAAATTATATTTTAACCTTTGTTTTTGTGAAATGATAATTTTCTTTTCATTCGTACAACATATTGATTAATATATTAAATGTAAATATAATAAAACATGTTGTATTTAGTATGACAAAAGAATTCAAAAATTTTAAAAATTAAATAAATAGTAATCCTAACTTCTAAGAAATGTCACAAATATATATATATATATATATAT